TATAAAATATTTTGATGGAGAAATAAACTGGAGCATTATTGGATAAGGTTTAGGATTTACAAGAATAAGATTCGACAAACCCCACATAAAACTTCTCCTTGATTTACAAAAAGAAGTTTTCACCTCTTATAAATATAGGAAGTAGAGAGGGATGGCACATAATAAGAAAAAAAAACGAGAAAAAAAAATTTCTCCCTAAAATCCCACACCCCCTCTCTTTCTAGTGGTTGCTCGCAAAAACCCTAACTCGATTTCTTTTAGAGAAAATTCATATACAAAATAGTTGGAGCAAGCACATGATGATTTTTGTAACTTTGTGTATGATTATTTGAGCTGCATGGATAATTGGTAAAAGCCGAACATTTGGACGTTTTCTTTTCGTATAGATTGTTTCTACGCTACAATAGGTAATCACTCACTATATTTTTATTCATGTTTATATATGATTAGTTAATTCAATGACATGATCTTGAAAACCCTAGATGGAGGAAAATTTTTATTTATTCCGCATCTTCATAGGATGCATGATCATTCAATTTTTACCATACTAACTTTTAGCCTTGAGAAAGTGCAAAAGTTATCGAGAAGTTCCATGATAATCTATTTTTGATTGAGGGTAGCTTATGTAAAAAACATGAGGCCATCCGTAAAAGATGGATGTGAAATAGCAAGACCCGTGAAGGTAAGAATAATCAACTTTCACTCTATATTAACAATAGCCTAGTTAATCATCCGACTCAATAACTCCATATATAAAATAAAAAAATATAAGGAGTAGAGGGTCACTTTGATAAATATCTCGAGAAGGATAAAAAACCTTTGATGTCACTCCATTCCAGCTAACTAGTAGACAAGTGGTAGAAATACACTTCATAATGAGAGATACCATATTACCTGCGAGCTTAGCATCGTGATATATATTGAGAAAAAAATCCTAACTTAGCGAGATCATAACTTTTTATAGATCAATTTTTATAATAATAAGAACCTTATTCCCTCTCTCTATCTATCTAATTTTATAGAGAACATCCTAAGCAATAGTAATATTATCATTTATGTGTCACCCATGGATGATATTAACTTGAGTGAGAGAAATTATAATTGCTAAAATGGGTTTAATATGGTTAACTAACACCTTGGTTAGGATTTTGTAGGATACATTACAAATCTTCATCGGTCTAAATTGCTTGATAGTCTCTAGAAGTTCAAGTTTCGATATCAAAACTAGTAGAGCCCTATTAAAATCCAAATTCCCTCTAAAATGATTAAATAAAATTTGAACTATATTATAAATACCAAGCCTTATGATTTTCCATTGACTTTGATAAAAGAGTGAGTGTAAACTATCAATGCGTAGAGCTTTATATGAATCCATATCAAAGATAGTTTGTTAGATCTCCATGTCTACTAGAGGAGTATTAAGAGCGTGGTTGTATCTCCGGGTTAGTAGGTTAAAAGCTCTATGAAAATAGTAGGTCAAAGTAGTCGAAGGTTCGACTGTGAAAAGATTCTTATAATAGTCCATCACCATCTTTAATGAGTTTTATGTCTCAAAAATCTATTTCTCGATACATCTTTTAAATAATCAACCTTGTTTTTCTTGCGTTTAACCATAATCAAAGTATGAAAATGTTTTGTTTTTTGTGGCCAAGTAAAATATGGTTACTTCTAGAATTTTGAAACCATTAAAAAAAAATTAAAAATCTTAACATAACATCATTTAGTTTTGCTTTAACACAAACAAAAGAAGGATTGTAGTTACACTTCAAGGCCCTTTCAATACTAACCGATCGATGCTTCTTTTGAAATATGTTTCCAAAGACATACTTATTTCAAGAAGTTACGAGTTTCAAAAAATTTATCAATTGCCTTAAGAATACCGCATTTTGTATTTCAATTCTCTCATATAAACTTATTGAAGTCTAGGTGTGTAAACCAAATAGCCTAAAAATGAAAAATATATATTACTCCTAAGACTAGTAGAAGAAGCGAGTTAAAATTAGAGCAACAAAGATCTATTATATGATTTTAGTCTCAAACAATTCCTAAAGCTAAACTCAAAATAACATTAAAATCACCTTCAACCAATCTGCGGTTGTGATATATTTGTCGACAACTTGATCAAATCATCCCATAAAAGATGATGAGAGTGCATTCTTAAAGTGACATTTACTATTGTAAAAAGGAAATTTTTGCTATCAAACACAATATGAACATGCATGAACTAGCAGTGATGAATAAATATTGTGAACTTCAAAATAGTTTCATTCAACGAAGCTAAATACTAAATGAGAATCCATATGCTTTGATTCGGTTGAATTAGAGAATCGTAGACACTTAATGATTTTAGAAGTTTAATCATCATTAATTTTAGGTTCTGCTAAAACCAAAGTTTGAGGTTTATGCATAGACAAATGGTAACAATAATGAGGCAAAAACATTTTATGACCAACACTTTCCGGTAGTTTCAAATAATCAAGATATTTATAGGGAGTGGTTGGGATCCTTTGTCATAAAACTTAACCTTTTTGGTCGTCCGATCTATCTCATCGGGGTTAAAATTAGGGTTTTCAATTTCTTCATCAAAAAAAGCACTTTGAGAGCGTTTATTTTTAATCTTTTTCTATGGTAAAAAAATCAAATTCAATATTTTGCTAACACAGCTTAAACTTGATTTTCATACACACACATGCAGTTAACTAGGTGTTCCACTAAATGAAGCTTGAGATAGCCTTGGCTTGCATTATTAAGAAAACTAGACGTATTTAGTAGTTGTTATTAATATTACTTCGAGCTTTGAGTGTTTGATTTGCCAACCGATCAACAATTAAAAGAAAGCCTTTAACAATTCACTATTTTATTTACACGAGGCTCCTTATACTTAATGACATAGTTCTCGAGGTCTAATAATAATTAGGTCCACATATATAGTATTGTATTTCAATGAAGATTTACCTTGTAAAATCAAGCAGGATGAAAGATGGATTTGAATAATTGATATTTTTTGATAACTAAATCTTATAAAATAATTATATAAGAACATCATTCCTTTTATGTATATATATAAAACACAGACGACGCTTTGACTTTCACCTCCCAAAAGAAAAAACGAAGCTTTGTAAGATGATGGAAAGATTTACCTGCTTTAATTAAGTGCAATGATATATTAGAGGGAAACCAAATTAAAAACATTTTATAAATGAAACCCAAAAAGGTTGAAAGGACAGGTTTTTCTTCTACAGTCTGCGTGCTAGATTATCTGTGACCTCGATCGTTGCTGCTTTGCTTTTAGCACGTGATCTTCTCCCCTGAAGGTATAAACTGTAACAGAAAAACAAGGAAAGCGGAGGGTGAAAATGATGAAGGCAGACATATCCAATCATAATGATCTTCTATCGTTGACACCAAGAAATTGGCACATTCAAGCAACTGTTTGAGTGAAGAAAGGATGTCATATGCCAACTATATATATTAATTCTATATAGAACAAAAGTGGTATGTAAGTATATGGCATGTTCAATATCATATTTTGAAAAGGAAAAAGGAGAGACAGCACTCTGGGTGGAAGGCTTTTTCATGTTGAATTTAGATGCAAGAAATGATGTGATGATCTTTAAATCATTAGGTCTTCAGCCATATTCTATTGTTCACACACACATATATATATATAATCTATCATAATTATTTTTAATAATATTAAATTTAAACTTATTTAGTTTAAAAAATAGTTCAATAATGAATGAAAAATTAAATATATTTTAACATTTATTTAGTTCAAAAAATAATAAATTTAATTTTGATTTATATGAAAACTTTTATTTGCAAATATATGTTTTTTTTAAAAAAGGCTTCAGCCATATTATGATTAATCCTCCAATGTGCTTACTTAATCATGTCTTTTTCCAGATGTGTAAGATCACTTTTTTTTGGTCTTTGTAGATAGCTATGTAGTATTCATTACAACTCCACTGGTTTAATTTTATGTTTCACTAAAAATTCAAGCCAAATTAACTTCACTTATCAAACTTAGTTTACGCTCTAACATGATTTGCTATATAAGGGACATAACTTTCCCAATCAAACTCCACATTTGCCAAACATGGAAAGGGATACAGAGTGGGTTATTATGGACCTAAAATTGTATATATATCCAATTATTTATGTGCATGCATAATCAAACTTCTTCCATTAAGGGAAAAACTGTGAATAGAACAAACATATTATTATGTACCAAAGGGGAAAATGTAACCTAAAGTAAGGATAAATATCTTATTACCAATCATCCTCAAAAACCATGCATACTCATTCTCATACGGCTGGCTAAATTAGACATGAAGATATATGGAGTAAAACAAGTACTTAAATGTGCGATACAAGTATGTTGCTTCTTCAAGTGTCATGTTTTGTGAGTAATTGATTATGTCAAATTGCTAATCGGTCCAATAATTAGTAGTAACATGTTTTTTATTTGGTTAGAAAGAAAGTAGTAATCAAGTAGGAGCAATGGTTCAAAACACCACTTGAAGTTTCCATGACACACGCAATGAGATATTGAGATCTTTTCATGTTTTCTTAATTAGGAACATCACAACTATGTTCCTTAAATTAAAATCATCAAAATTCAAATTAAATGGATATGATTTAGTGCATTATAATAATAATAATAATCTATTTCTTTTACCTAATTCATATTATTAAATATAAAATCAATAATTATATTTGGAATATGGTTTTAAAAAAATATGAGAAGATACAAATCCATCAACAAGACCAGTGGTCCTCTAACGAGGACACCCACACAAAGGCTTCTCTCTCCCGCTTTCCATATTAGTTTGCATATGAATGTAGAAAGCAAAATTAAACTAGGAAACTACCTTTATATAAAGGTGCACGAGGTATGCATTTTTAAACCTGGAGGACTAGCTAGAAGATATAAGGAAGGAACCACCCCCCAATTCTACATGGTGGGTTGTGATATTCAGGAGGGTTTGGGAAATAAAATGGGCCATCAATGCTGCAGCAAACAGAAAGTCAAGAGAGGGTTATGGTCTCCGGAAGAAGACGAGAAGCTAATAAAATATATAACCACCCATGGCCATGGTTCTTGGAGTTCTGTTCCAAAGCTAGCAGGTATATATATATATATATATATGTGTGCTCTTTATTTTTCTTAATTTTATGACGAAGTGCTTAATTTTAAATCCTTATTCTTTCAAAGCCAACCTCCATTGTATTGTTTCTTTTGAAGCTAGTGGGTACTTATTCTTTCAGGGTTGCAACGGTGTGGAAAGAGTTGTAGATTGAGATGGATAAACTACTTGAGACCAGATCTCAAAAGAGGTTCATTTACTGCACAAGAAGAGAGGACAATCGTTGATGTTCACAGAGTGCTAGGCAACAGATGGGCTCAAATAGTTAAGCATTTACCTGGTAGAACTGACAATGAGGTCAAGAACTTCTGGAATTCATGCATAAAAAAGAAGCTTATTGCGCAAGGGTTAGATCCAAACACTCACAATCTCCTCTCCACTAATTATAAGCATAACTACAACAGCAGTGCATGCAAACTTTCTGATCATTCCCTTCAACAACCCACCTCAACTTTCACAGCGAATTCACAAATTTATGATATTTCAACGGAAATGAAAGCACCCCTTACTCCATTCCCTACGATTCCTCCAGCTCCTGATGCTAATCCTTACTATCCTCCCTTAGTGCACGAATTCTCATCCATATTAACAGGTGAATACCCAAACCCTAATACACAAGCTTTCTTGGAGTGTACTGCAAGCCAATCTTCAATCGGAAGTGTCCCTATATCCTCCTCTACTTCACATCCTTCTGAGTTTGGCATGTCAGATGAGAGCTTCATTTGGGCTGGTGGCTATGAACCCATTCAATCCATATTACCTGAAAAAAAGCAGCCAGAACAGCAAGTACTGGAAACTGAGAACACCAACGAGTTAATAAGTGTTGGGCAGAATATGGATGCTTCATTTGAAACTACTAACTTGGGTTTTGATTTTGTGGAGTCTACTCTATTGCCTTGTGGGATGTACTATAATCCGAATCCCATGGATCAACTTGCATGGGATTCAGGGTTCTTGCAAGAGAAAAAGTGATCGATGGTTGTGGCGATGAGATTTCACTCTGCAGAAATGTTTAAAACTAGTACTCGTATGCTTGTGGATGGTGTTGGTAAGTAGTTCGTAAGTTTGAAGAGTTGAAGTACGTAATTAATGGAGCTTTCTTGTATTAATGTTCTAAGTAGTTTCTAGGTGGACTAATTCTGTAACTAATTGGAATTTCATATATATAGCAGTAAGAAAGTAAGAAGACTTTGAAAATTTGTATCCAATAATTAAGCGACTTCCTTTCTCTTTGTTTTTATTTATTTTTAATCTAAATTCTATAATGTGTCTTCCTTTGTTTTATTTTTTCCTCTGAGAAAATCTCTAATTGTTTCTTAATTTCTTAAAAGATCTAAATTCGACGACCTCATTATATTTATTAATGGCGCAGTTCCTTATTATGTATTGGATTTTTTCCCAAAGTTTATATGGAATGGTTTGCGACTACAAGTTATCTTGTAATTCATTTAAAAAAACAAACATCTTGTCTAAAATCGTTTCGAAAACAGCGCCTCGCGAAGGCCATTTTGAAACAAAAGTATTATTTTTAAAAAGAAAGAAAGAAAGAAAGAGACCTTTTTCCCTCGAAAACAACAACAAAGACTCTTTAAAAAAAAAAAAAACTCCGATATCTAAGGAGACACAATTAATGCTGTCAATTTTCTAGTTTAATGGTACTTAATTAACCCCAATATGGTAGCAACAAATTAAATTACAGGCGGGGCATTTTAAAACAAAAATAGGCATGACGATGCGACTCACATGGCAAATATTAGGGAGGGAAGACATCGGTTCTATATTTCCAATTGATCTTCAACATTGCACTTTGAATTCCCTCTCTAATATCCTTTACAAATCTGCACAAATTAATTACACCTCTTGGATTATATACAAGTTCATCCACTAACATCCTCCAAACTAATGTTTTTAATATTCATTTAAATAGACTCACATTACAAAATAATTTCTTAAATTATCCTTAAACCTAAATTAGAAAACTAATTTTCCTTTTAGGTGACTTACTTTCAAATTTGGAACAACTTCTAAATTAAAAAACTGATTTTAAAAACTATTTTGAAAATATAAAACTTTCAAACTTAGAAACTTTTTCCAATATCTTTACCTTTTTTTATTATGTAAATGCTTAAACTTATATATATGACTAAATATGTTGGTAATATATTAAAAATAAAAGACACCTATTTATCTCTTAATACATAAATCAAGATTAGCCTTTAGCAAGGCATAATGACTACCCAATTCTCTAGGAGGATTAATTAATTCGTAATTACTTTTTATGAGCATGGTTACCGGACAATTCGATCCTCATGTCAATTTATCATAGTGTGATCTCGAATTTAATTATTAGTCCGTTCGATTATGATTACATAAGTTTTCTTCATTTTCAAATGTCTTAGCTCTTTGAGTAAACCAACTATGCTTTATTGAGATACTCCTACTATAGCCACAGATTTCTTAAGCAAACATTCATCGAAGTGTAATGTGATAACTCTTTTAATATATAAGGAATGACATATTCTCTCTTGGTTATCCACCTACCTTCATTAGATTCCTAGTGCGTTCAACAAATTGTTCATATGCAATCCTTTACTTGGTCCATCGAAATGAGTGTCAAAGTACATAAATTCTTTAATGAGATAACAGTAATGACTATAAGTTAAAGGACCGATTGTACTCATCTCGTATAAGATTCTCATAGACTAAATCAAATGGATTCTTATGGTAAGTCAATTCCAGTGATATATTCTCTAACATTAATCTCTTAAATGCTTGCTTTGGCATCATCATGCCAATAGATGTGAGATTTCTTATTGTCATCTCATAGCATAAGCATAACACTCACAAGTGTAACCACATATAGTCAATGTCCATTCTTAACAATGCTACGACTTAGAATATTTAATGATATTATTTAAGTGCATTAATAGCCGTCTCACATTTTTTGATCAATCATTAATGCAAACGCATATCATATGGACGTCTATCTAATTCTATTCAATAAATAAATATAAACAATAAGAATAAGTAGAAAGACTTCTTTATTATTAATAAAATAAATAATGTAATGTTGCAATAACTAAAATCTATCCAAACATGGTTGGATCTTGAGCACCTAAACTAACATTGGCATACGATTATCAACATGTGTCAACTCTTTCATAAGTTGACATAAGTCGTCATAACACCTCTTCAAAAAATGATATTCGGACTTGAGGTGTAACAAACGTGCCATTTGTGGATAACCGTAAGTAGTTTTCGAAATCAAAGTAGATCTTTATATTAGATGCATTCAACAAAACATAAAATGTCTAGGCATCGGGGTTTGGGACTTCGTTGGTGTTAGACAAATTATATGATAGACCGATCGCATCCATCACCACTCGCGTGCTATGGATTGGCCGGAGGTTCATCAAATATTCATTCAATTTGAACAAAATTTATCGAGTTGTCACCATAAATGACCGACTCATTTTCTCCATGACGTCTCTACACATAATACCGGACACAAAATCATTTCTCATCAAATGATACTTAACTATAACAAGATATTCATAACTATGATTTTGACACCTTTTAAGTTTACAAAGACATCTTATATTATTTTCATCCATACACTCCGGATGACTAACAACAAAATTAATAAATTCACTAATCCCATCTACGAAATGTTGATTTAAATGACCATCGGTAAATCTATAATTAATCCATGAATGATTCGAATTCATTTTATACTAAATTTAATTAATTTAATAAATAACTAATTTACTTATTTTAACGAATAAAAAACTTAATTAACCACTTAATTAATTGAACTTAGACGTAATTGCTAATTTTATACTAAATTTAATTCACAACTAATTAACTTATTTTAACAAATAAAAAATTTAATTAACTACTAAATTAATTATACTAACACATATTTGTTAATTTTAAAGTAACTTTAATTAATTTAATTAACAACTAATTTACTAATTTTAAGAAATACAAAACTTAATTAAGTACTAAATTAATTAAACTAACACATAATTGTTAATTTTATACTAAATTTAATTAAAAACTACTAAACTTATTTTAACAAATAAAAAACTTAATTAACTACTAAAATAATTTAACTAACATGTAATTGTAGATTTTAAACTAAATTTAATTAAAAAGTTAAATTATTTTGAAAAATTAATAACTTAATTAACTACTAAATTAATTAATTAAACTAACATGTAATTGTAGATTTTAAACTAAATTTAATTAATTTAATGAACAACTAATTTAATTATTTTAAAAAATTAATTAATTTCAAAATTAATTAAACTAACCCGTAAATGTTATTTTTAACCTAAATTTAATTAATTTAAGAAACAACTAATTTATTTATTTTACTGACTACAAAATTCATTAACTACCAAATTGTTTAAACTAACACGTAATTAATTTTTTTAAAACAAAATGTAATTAATTTAATTATCAACTAATTTACTTATTTTAAAAACAAAAAAACTTAATTAAATACCAAATTAATTAAACTAAAACAAACTCAATATTTTTTAACATTGTTTAAATAATTTAGTTATCAACTAATCTAATTAATTTAACATATATAAAACTTAATTAAGACCCCTATTTAATTAGAGTAACAAAAAATTAAATTTAAAAAAAATAATTTTATTAACTACAAACAAAATTAATATCATTAACTAGTAAATTACTTAATTAATACATAAATAATTAAACTAACACCTATTAAATTTTTAAAAACAATTAAAGTATTTAAAAAATCAAACTTAATATAATTAACAGCTTTAACAATACTAATTAACACATTATTAAATAAATTAACACTTAATTAAATTTTTAAACAAATTTTTAATTTAATTAACAACTAATAAATTAACTATAAAAACAAACTAAATTAAAATAACTAACAATTAACATATAATTAATTAAATAATAAATATACTTAATTTAATCAACAACTAACAAATTAACTCTAAATAAAAAAATCATTAAACTAACTAACAATTAACAAATAATTAATTAAACGTCAAAATTAAATAATCTAACACTTAATTATTTTTTAACGTATAATTAATTTAATTAACAAATTAACTATAAAAACAAACTAAATTAAACTAACTAATAATTAATAATTAATTAATTAAACAACAAATATAAAAACAATGAAATGAATAGAAAAAAAATTAATTAGTTACCAATTACACAAATGGAAGAGTAGACAAGGAGGTAAGAGCTGCTACCAATTCACAATGAAGAGGTGGAGGAGTTGTTGTTGCTGCACGGTGATCGGAGATGAAAAGGGAAGGAGTTGCGGCGAAGGAGAGGGATGGAAGGAGAGAAACAAGAAGAAAAAAGAGGAGGAAAGAGGAAGAGATGTAAGGGAAGAAGAAAAGAAGAGATTTGGAGGGAGTTGTAGTCCAGATTGGAGGGGAAATGGGAAAGGAAGTGGAGTCAGTAGTCGTTAGAAGAAGAAGAAGAAGAGAAAGAAATAAGAAATGGGAAAAAAATTTCGGACAACAAGTTTTAGAGATTTAAGTTTTTAACAATGGTTTTGAACCGTTGTTGGAAACATTAATTTTTTCAAATTTGCCTGTTTATCCTCCAACGGTAATAAATTACCAACGGTTTTCATAAATCATCGCTAATTTCATTATTTGTTGATTGTTTTCATAAAAAAAATGTCGCTAAATCCCTTTTCTCCATTGACTTATTAGCTTCATGGGTTTAGCGATAATTTTCAATAACCGTTGCTAATACCACTCATAATAAAGGGTTTTAAGCAACGATTTTAAACAAACCATCACAAAAATCATATTTTTTTCGAATTAGCGACTATTTAAGTAAACCCTTGCTAATTAAAAAAAAAATTCCTTTTTAGTAACGGTTTGTTTAAAACCACGCTAAAAATAATCATAGGTGAAAAATTAGCGACGGTTTACAAAACGTCGCTAAATACCCAATTTTAGAAATAGAATAGCTATAGTTTTATGAAAACCGTCGCTATTTCATGGTTTTAGCGATGATTTGTTGTACCATCGCTAAAACCTATTTTCTCGTTAGTGATGGTTGGGATCCCTTCAAATACATTTTATGTAAAAAAATGTAATGTTTTTTAGTAGATATATGTTCTTATTTATGAATCTTTAATATTAAGAAAAAAGTACTATGTGTAAATATAAGTAGTGGTGGACCTTGAATATTTAGGAAGGGTCAAATTATATTAAGCATGTAAACGCTACTGATTAGAACAAAAAGGCTCCATGCCTAAATCAAGGGTTGATCGATAAATTAAACTATATATTGATGATGATTGTGTCGATCAGTTTTTTTTTTCATCAATAATAAAAACACTGAAAATCTTGAATATTTATGTATTAAATTGTCAAAATAAATTTGCATTAGAAATCCATCGCTAAAATGCTAGATTATGTTCGTAGATTTGTTGGAATATTCGAATACAACATATATATAATCCAAAAATCTTGGTAATATCATCACAATTTTTTAAATCTAATTTTCCATAAAAATATGATTTTCATAGATAATTGTGTCAAAAATATTTTTAGAAAATAATGATAAATTATAAAAAAATGATTAAAAAAATCATTAAGTCTGTCTATCTAAAAAATTGAAAAAAAATATGAAAAGATTAAAAACAAATTTTGTATCAATTTTGTCCGTTAAGTTTTAGAAATTCAAAATTAAACATCTTCATCCATAATTAATCACAGAATCCATTCAAGTTTATATATATATATATATATATTTGTGATAAACGATGTCATTTTTTTAGGTATTTAACATTTTTGGTTTAAGAATTCTAATAGATGGCTTCAATTGAGAAAATACAAATTATTTGGAGATAAATTGATACAAAAATTTATTTGGAAGTAAAATAGATACACGTCCAACAATTCGGGGGCTTGTTTGAGGTTGGCCCTTACTTATTTTTGAGGTAGCCCAGATTGTGTCGAACTCGAATCAGCCGACCGAGATGGAAAGTTCGCTCCGTATAAGTGATAACCATAAGCTTCTGTTAAGCGCCGTTACCCACCGCTTGCTTCTTCCTTATTTCTCCTCTCAGTTTCTCTGCCCTAACAAAACATACTCACAAAAACAGCAAGACAGTTCTTTATTTTTGGAAAACATGCCACAAGGTTCTTTCTTCTTCTTCTTCTTTTGGGTTTTTTTTTTTTTTTGTTTAAAGATTTGATTTTGTTACTAATAAGACAAGTAATAAATTGTTGGCAGAACTTCCGGGGTTTTATTACGATGAAGAGAAGAACAGGTATTTCCCTCTCAGAAGTCCGATTCCGGGTTCTTCTCGTTCTTCTTCTTCTACAAACAATGCTCAAAAGCCATCCATAACCAATACCCAGGTCAGTATTATTTGTGTGTCGGTGTGTGCGCTTGAGAATTAGTGTATGCTTTATTGGGTTTCAAGTGTTTTCATTAAAAATATCAATTCCTTGGTGATTGGTGATGGATGCTTAGTATTGGTAACAATGACTTTAATCTGTGTTTTAAATAAAGTTTTTGAACTTTTTGGTTTTTATTGAAAGTTGTTCAGAGGTGATTACTTAAAATAATGTAATTAATCCATGTGCTATATATATATATATATATATATATATATATATATATATATATATTGCTGCTTATAGACTCGTGTTTCGACTATACATGATCAATAGAGGCCTCTTTGACATATTATGCAATGAGTCTAATAGGATTCTCCTACATTATATTTCTTTTGATTTTCTTTTATGGAAAAGGTAGAACTTGAACTCCAAGACTTGCTCCCTCTTCCTTGCCTTGCGGGATTATTATTCTGCGCCAAACGGCCATTAGTCATAGGTGATCAAAATTGGTTGTCTTTTCATCCACGAGTATTATGAGACAAACTAAAATCATCTACTTTATTTATGTTGTTCTTGCTTCTCATTCCTGTTTCTAACTCCTGTTGGGTGGTTCATCATATTTATCACTTTCCATGCTTCGTGTTCTAAAAATTGGCACTTCCCCAAAGTTTGGTTATTCATTCATCATTTGTTTGCTCTTCTGGCATGCATTTCATATGAGATGCTATTTCTAGTTTTGGAAGAGCCTGTCTTTACTTAGTAAATTCGAAATGCTCTAAAAGATATGGAAGTCTGTGATCTTTCAGTTTTAGAGATTGAATTGTTGCTTAATAGTAAAATGGTGTGGTGTGCACCTCAATAAAGAAAATAAGATTGTGTGGCCAATGTTAGAATTCTCCATCATTCTGAATTTGTATGTTTTGCTTTCAAGCAAATAGTTTGATACACAGAGAGATTGGAAGGACAAAATTGATAATGGTGTGGGTAACTTTCCTAATCTTGAATGTTTTCTACCTGTCATGATGTAAAACTATATAGGCATTCCATCAAGTCAAGATTATTGCTATGTTTGTATCTGTCTTTAAATAATGCTCTTTTCCTTTTTCTTAAATTTGTTTTTATGCCAACTTATAACAATTAGATATGCATCTTAAGTTCGCCCCAATGTATATGAGTGGCTGAATTTTTGGCCTTTTCCTGCTCTATTGCTGGGTGTGTTCCCAAATGTTGTAACTGATCCTTAAGGTTTTTTTTCTTAACTCCTTTCAATGCTGCAGGCATCCAACATTTGTAGGAGAACTGGAGTACGAATAGCCAAACTGCTTCAGGGTAGGGAGTTGAATGGTAATGTAATAACTTCCAACAAAGGGAAGTGTGACTTCAGGGAGGAATTCCTAAAGATCCAAGCATCCCAACCACTGGTATGTTGACAGCATATTCGCTTATAAATTTGAATGCAATTGTTTTTGGGTTTTTCTGTTGATTACAGAAGCATGAACAATACACATGGCCATACTGTTAAAGGAGAACTTTCTTATTATTTTAAACCACTGATAAAAGCCTCTTTAATGAACAAATTATTAGAACTTTAAATTTGTTGCATAAGTTATGAAGCTCAAATTGAAGAGCAGGACACCTTGATGGTGGATGAGAGTTGAAGAACAGCGTGTGTCTTTAGATGAATCAGTGAATGTTTTAGTTTTAATGACATCGCAAAATTATTGAGATTCAGTGTAATAATGTCAAGATTCATTGAAGACTTTTTTTCACTGACTTGAAACGAATTGCTCTCAAGTTTTGATTTGTCAATTAATATTTCAAGGTCTTGCTGGAATTTCAAAAGTCTTAAATGGATTTCAGAGTGAATTTCTGTTTTGCCTCTCTCTCTCTCTCTCTCTCTCTCTCTCTCTCTCTCACATTAAAGATTGCTCAAATCTTTTTGTTGTTTTATAATTTTATTCATGATGAAGGTTTGGAAGTACCAGACAACTGAAAGGATAGCTGATAGTGCTCTGGACCAAATACATATTGATATCCACACACCAGAAGGTCAAACTGGAGCAGATTGTCTAATAACGGGCGGTGTAAATGGTTCATTAAGGTATAATTGATGCTTGTAATTTCATTTACTATTTTCCAGCATCCTCCTATAGACATTTGCATGAAGCTCAAAAAAGTTTTAGTGCTTGATGTTATGAAGAAACATTTACATGCTTCCTACCAGATTAACTTGTAAACTATGATGTTAAGTCTTAGACACTAGTAGAATTCCGTTAATTAACCTGGTATATAATAATTAGCATTGCTATATGGAAGTTTGTATCCCGTAAGCATGTTTTGTAATTGTTTGGTGACTTTTTGTCTTCAACATAAACCTTCTTGCGAAATGTGCATTTCCTTTGAAGAGAATCAAATAAAACGTAAAGACTTAAGTATCCTTTTATGAATTATGGTTTTACTGCATTCAACGTTATCGTTGAAGGATTTTCTTGTCTGGAAATTTTTTCATGGTTTTCTTGAAGATTATCTTTCTGTGGTGATATTGGTGCATTAATATGTTGTGATTATATAGGTATTTGATTTGCTACATATGTATGTAGTCTGGACTTTTCCTTTCCTAATATTCGGCATTAATAACATATAACCTTTAGGTTCTTGGAGGTTTTTATAATATAAAAGAATATTCTCCACCATTAGAGATTATGGCTGATCTTTCACAAAAAGATGTGCTCGTAGCTTGACTGTGTTAGCACATGTTGTAGTGGGCCTTTGTATTTCTTGCAGAACAATAGCATTCTTCTGCCATATCTTCCTTTCTGCAATTAAAGGATCTTTTTGTTTTCTCTTCTAAGTTCAGTAGCAATGTTGACTTGTTGTTCAGTTTTGAGATAACTATGTGCTTCTATGATTTGCTTTTCTTATCATTATGCAATTCCACCTCATCTTTTTACTGTGGCTATAATATTTATTAGTGTGCATTACCAGCTATTTCTTTTCAAGTTTGGTGCTCTCGCAGTCTTTTTGAAGTTGGAAAAGTTGGAGAACATAATCAAGGGGTAAAATGCATTCCAGATCAAGTGTGGCCTATAATTGAAGAAAACAGAGCAGAGTGTAGTAAAGGCCCTGGGCGTATTTGGAGCCCTCCAGGATCTTCTTTACAAATGTCTTCAAATGTATCTTGTATAAAAATGTGCGGAAAGCACTCCCTGTTCCAGCGAGCTTTGTATCCTATTTCGATTTCATTTTGTACTTAACTAGTTTGTCTGTTGCTTTTAATTTATATATGCAAATGGTTTTTCTTTTAAAAATCACTACTCAATCTACTTGCAATTGAACTTGCTTAGCGCATTTTTTATTTTGCTATTTGATCCTGATTGTTCAGGAAATTTGACCTCTTTGTTTGGCTTGGGTGTCTTCAGCCTTAGTTTGCAGATCTTTTACCATTCTAAAAGCATTTCCTGTCCTAGAAATCTCAATGTTATAAGATACAGAGATCTCCCAGGGTATGATGGGCAATGATGGCCTTCTGTCACATGTTGGTCTTGCTGTAGTGTTTTCTTCTTGATTAGTGGCCTTTATAACTTACATATTTGGAGTTTACTCTTGGCATGTCTTGTTTGCACCAATCATTCCCTCTTTGCTTCTCATACATGTGATATGCATAAATACAGTTTCATTATGAAAGCAGAGAATTCTATTTTTGCACTAGTAATTCCTTAATGTAAGGAAACAGGATAGCTACTCTCGGATCTGAGACATCTGGAGGATCTGTTTATATTCTTAATGTTGTTGAGCCAGTAGATTTTGATTCAAGTTATGCTATTGGTGGAATGATGCGTAAGGCTGCTTCTTTCAATTGCACCATTTGGACTGCAGACTGCAGTCCTAACTCAAGTCGGGCAGTGATTGGCAAGTGTTATGTTGTTTTGTTTGTCTTATTTTTATTGTGGTGCATCAAGTCTTGTAATTAGCTTAGTTATGTATTATGTTTACTACTACTCTGGAGTCGGGAAATAGAACTTTGCTAGAAAACTTGTGTCTTTGGAGTTTTGCAAGTTATTAGATTTAGTTTGTTTCTTTTTTCTTTTGGATTGATGCTTTGAAAAGATAAATAAAAGCTTCCGAGTTCCAGTCTGTTGTTTACCACTTGGGTGTTAACTATTTACCTCGATACGTATTATTTGAGATGAGGTCTATTTGATGATTGATTTGGTAGGAATTTAAGAATAGCTACAACGCATTGGCATTAATTCTATGTTATTTTCAGGAATTAAAATTTTTGTTTATTTCTGGTTGTTATAGGAACAAATCTAGGAGCTGCCTTGGTCAATTTGGAAACTGGAATGGCATCATGGGTGTGTAGAAGCGGAAGTGATGTTTTGTCTCAACAGCTCGATCCATCGGTAACATTCTAATCCTCTTTGGTACTGTACATACATTAAGTTGCCTGATGGTTAAAGAAGTGAAAATGCTTTGATAAGCTGATAAAACATATTTTCTCCTGAACCTCGAGCTAAAACCAAACTGGATCTGTTTGATCAAATTGCCGGGATCATCGATCATTTATATACATGGGTTAGCAGTTTGGCTGGTTGAAAATGGTGAAAAAAGAAAATGGTTCTGTTTCTCTAAAATTTAGTTTGGCATGCTGACTGTCAAAGCCTCAAACTGCTAATCTTATTGTAAACTGGATGGCTTTCTGCCCCTCGTTTCTTTGATAAATTTAGTCTCATTTTAAAGATCACGAGGCACATGGAAGTATGGAACATAATTATAGAAGTTTAGAGCCATTTGTCATTATTGACTTTCTTTGTCAATTAACTATCTTACAATTTCTGAAATATATATGATTTCCTTCTGCTGCAGGAGAATGTTGTTTTATGTGGGCTAAGAAATGGAGCAATTTTGACTGTTGATGTTCGCAAAAAACAAGGAAGAGTTTCAGATAGATTTATTAGGCATAGAATCCCTTATTCTTCAGTAGGCAGACAGGGTCCAAGTTCTAGTAAACAATGGTTTCAGGTAATTAAGTTTTTAGATATAATAAATTTTGTAGGTGCCAAATTCGCTGCCAAGTTGTTCCAGAAGTGAACATTCATCTAAGAACATAAGCATGGAACTCAAGAGGGTGATGTCAAGTAACTAAATTGACTTCTGAGTTTAGGACTCATAAAAAGACTAATAAAACTCAAATTAGAATTCGCACAAGAGGATTAAGTTAGTTCTTAAGTTAATGTCTTATCAATCAAAACCTCAAATTAAAATGAGAAACGAAAAAAAAAATAAGGGAGTAAGAATTTTTTTACTTTTCCCTTCAGCAGCATCCAGTAGAGCTGAAATAAAGTATTTTTTTTTTCTAAATTCATTCTGTCTACTTTTCCCCGGTTTCGTTTTCTTTCAATGAAATGAATACATAAAGTTTTGCATGCTTTTGACTTGAAATTTTGTACAATATACTTGGTTTTTTACAAAGGGGCTCTACTGCATAGCTGTTCTGCTAAATGAGAGTCCTTTAGAGGGCACCAAGATTCCTTAGTGCAAGTGCAATTAGTAGGAAATAGATGAACTTCATTTAAGGTTCTCAAAAAAAAAAAAAAAGAAAGTGCAAGTGCAATTAGTAGGAAATAGATGAACCTAAAAACCAGAAATTTCTTAATTTGGTAAAGAAAAAAAAAGGTCAATAGCAGCAATCAATGGGTTTGATCCAAATTCTAAAGTGCCTTTTTCGTTTGTTGCTTTGACAGTGTTCAATAAAACCTAAATCATAAAAGATCAAATATCATGTGGAATTTTGTACTGTAACATTTTTGACATTGTATTCCTTTTACAGCGAAGCAAATGGTAAATTGCCAGCTTGTTATTTTGTTTTGTATTTATGTTGTTCAGTGAGGAGCTAGTTTGTGAAAACTTTGATCATTGCAGCAATTTTGTTTTGTGTAGTATTTGAACTTGGTGATTTCAGATATATAGTTTTTCTGTCTTTTGTAGTTCTTTTCCTTTCCTGCCTTGTTTGTTTTACGCGATTTTTTTTTACTCATGTGATGAATTGAGCACTAGCTTGAGCATTTATAACTGCTCATCTCGGTGAAATTATGGTAACTAACCTGGATGTGATGTTTTGCAGGTCAAAGGAAACATATACCCTTCTTGTACTATTTTTATGCCTTCATCTATATGCTGGTTAGTGAGCTTCTAAAACATGTAATTCTTGGTTTCTAGTTTTAATGCTGCTTTCAATTTATGTAACTTGTGCCTTCTTTTGAATCTCCAGTTTGGTATCACTTCAGTGTTACGACCAGTACTTCTTGGCCAGCTCTATGGATGGATCGGTTAGTAACGATCGACTTTTAGTTGCCATTCTTTTTATTCTTTTGTGGATGTCCTCTTAATAATGTGCTCATCAAAACATCAAATTTTTCTAACATAATATGTATAAGGCAATAATGAGGTGCAGAATGTTTTCCTTCCAATTAGTAGTTCACTAAGTAATTGGATCATGACCCAAAGGGAGCATATAATTTACTTTTGGTATTATCATAAAAATATTTTTGATAGTTAACAGCCCCCTGGGTGTCTGCTAATTAAGCTCACTTGTTGACTGATAGCTGGAAAGTCCATTTCAATTTTGTAGGGAGGTTGAGATATTCATGTGGATAAGCAACACTAAGAATATATTGCACAAGTTATGTAGAATATAAAATAACACAAAACAATGTCTGAAAGCAGCCTTCCTTTCTTTCTCTCAGTTTATTCTGTAAATTTCCCTTTTTCCTTTCTTTGGGTTATGCGTGGTTTTCTGTTTGGGGTGCATTTGGTTCAAGCTTAAAACAATAAAAGCATTTAGATCTTTTGTTTGCATTTGGAGTGTTGCAAGAAGGTTTTGACGATGGTTAGGCCATGGTGGGTGATGGTGGTAATGATTGTTTGGCTATGTGGCTATGGTTAGTGGCGGTGGCGGTGGTAGTATTCTCTTTTTTTAATTTGATTTTGGTGTTTTTTTTATTCATTGTTCTTGCTGAACTTTTAAAATTTTGTTTTAATTGTAATTAAATTTTATTATTATCCTTTTTTTTCTCAAAATTAATTAAAACAATTAATATTTATGCAAAAATGAAAGTCAACTGAGGTTAAAGGAAATGTGTCGTGCAAAGAGCACAGTTACTGCCCACATTTGATGGAGGGCTGACATTAACCAAAATTTTGACATACAAGGACTCGATCATTATTTTTGAGGTAGGACTCAATTAAATATTTTATATTAGGAACAGATAAGATTGTTAACCCATTGTTGCTCTGAAAAAGGAAAAACCCTATAACCACACATAAAGAGGCCTCATATCTCAGCATACCTTTTCTTCTTCTTCCCGTTAGTTATTTACCATGCCTGCTTTCTTTTTGTAAATGCTAATAAATCTCATTGCTGTTTCAGTTGCTAGCTTCGTATAACACCCAGTTTTCTAGTCCACAATTTTCTTTGGAGTTAATTATATTTTCAGTCTACGAAGTTGTCAATTTTTTCTAATCAAGTGTCTCATTAGCTTTCTAGCAATTTTTCCCATTATATACACATGTGGCTCGCTAATGAGACATGTTTTATACGTGGCAATGATTTGTCAGCCACGTGTGAGACATGTGGCTGCTACGTGTAAATTACATGGAAAATGAAAAAAAATAAAAATTGCCATTCAACCCCTCCCTCTACAACCAAGACCTGCAAACTCTCCTCACCCACAACCCCTCAACCACCACTGCCACCCACTCCCAAGCCGACCATAACAGCCCCAAACTACCAGCAACTGCTGACCTCTCCAACTGCCATCTCCATCGAAACTCGCCCAAAGCTGCCCCATGTCTTCCACCAGCTGCTCGAATACCTGTTTTCCCACATCCTCTCATCCAAAACCCACCTGCAACGCCAGCTACCACTGGCCTTGCTGAAACCCACTGCTGTGAATGCCGGCCACTCCTAACGCCATCAACCACCACTGAAACCCATTCCCATGCTGAGCTGCCAGCTGAAACACCCCTCCTCCTGTCAACCACCCTTCAACGCAACCCACTCCCAAAGCTGGCTGATCTCCACTTCCAAACCAGACCCATACCACCGACAGACTCGTCGGAGCAAGAGAGATAGAGAAGCCAATAGCTTCGTCATTGAAGAGAAAAAGGGAAAGAAGATGGAGACTAGTGCATATAACGGGAAAGACCCTTTTTTGGTTTTTTTTTTCCATGTCATTTACACGTAGCAGCCATGTGCCTCACATATGATTGACATGCCATTGCCATGTGTAAAACAGGTTCCATTAACGGGCCACGTGTGCATATAACGGAAAAAATTGCCGGAAAGCTAACAGGAAAAAAAAATGCAAGATGGATTACTTAAACAACAAAGGTTAAAGAGGACACATTGGATTAGAAAAAAATTGACAACTATGTAAACTAAAAATATAATTGATTCTTTTCTTTTACTTTCGTTTTCAAGGAACTTCATTTTCGGGCATCTGTATTTTCTTTTGTAGATTAAGCTTTATGATCAACGCATGACTAAGAGAGGTGCTGTGCAATCTTATGAAGGGCATGTGAACTCTCATACTCGATTACAGCTCGGAGTAGACCAATCTGAGAGATTTGTTATGGCAGGTTTGTACCATTTCAATTCATGCAAGTTACTTTTAAAAGTTCTGTACTTTAATAGTCATTTATTAGAGACTTCAAAAATTATACCATGTTTACCACAAACTTATTCTTCTTAGGGGGAGAGGATTGCAATTTGCGAATTTGGAGCATTAAGTCTGGCAAACTGCTTTTTGAGGAAAAAATATCTGATTCGGTCCTCTCAAGTGTGTGTTGGGGGAGATCTGAAAGTAAGCTATCTGCATCATACTGTTACAAGTCTTTGGTCCTTCATTTGTTTTCTTATTTCAGGATGGATAACCTTTTGGTGCTATTTCACGTGTTTTAATCTTTTTACCATTTACAAATTTGATTCTGCAGGATTTATGAATACACTGAATGAACATAAAAGCTATGAAGAGTGCGAATCCGGGCAGAACCTTAGTTGTGGGACATGGTTTGGATCGCAGGAAGGACTATTCTACATGTGTTAGTCATGAGTCGGATCACTCCCGAATAACATATACCAGTGAGGAGAAAAAGAGCCACCGGGGATTCAAATCTCCAACCGGTAGAACGATTGCTGTAAATGTTCAAGCGTGCAAATTTTGTTGACATAGGAACTTTTAGTAGATAGCAGTAACCACCCTTAGTTTGTTATGATTTAAGATAGCAATAAATATTTTAGATGATCATTGATTTGCAAATTTCAACAAACAGCGCAGGACAAACATTGGTTCCCTTTGAAGAACTGTTGTACTCTTTTAACATTCACACACATACTATCTCGAGTCCAAGGTAGAAATATTTGCAATATTTGCCTCGACAATCCCTTAGTTTGTTAACGTTGTTGGGAGACCAAGGATGATATTGAAGATTTAATTTGTGCATCATTTGATGTTCGGTCAATGGGAAACGATCAATTTTTAAATATGCAGCATTTGCTTATCATTAGTCGTCTTGCGGATCCAGCTCTTCGTTTTTAGTATCATCTTCCTTTGTCTCTTCATAAACTGGTAATTGTCAGTGGTGACCAGAAGTTGAAGTTACAGAAGTTGTTTGATTCCTCTCCAGGTTGTCAACGGTTTAATGGTCCAGATGTCTTTTTATTGTTTCGTTAATCTTAATTGTGTTCCTCTACTAATCTTCTAATTAATTTTCAGTGCCAGATGCATAAAATGATGAGGTGGTTTTTTTTTTCAATTTTCCAAAAAACAAAAATTACATTTCTAAAAAGAAAAAAAATCACAAAATGCTTTTTTTTTAAAAAAAAATATATTTTATATTTAAAAGTAAATAATTAATTTCATTCCTCAATTATTTTTGCTCTCTCTCCAATCCAAACCAATAAAGAAAATTTTTTATGTATAGGAAGGAGTATTTTATTTTATTTTTTTTGAAATTTATTACAAAAATTTATTTAAAATCAAAACCAAAGAAAATTTTTTATCAAAACATAGGAACATAAGCAAAAGGTAGGAAAGAGAGAGAGAGAGAGAGAGATATTAGGATTTTTTATTTTTTTCTAGAATATATATATATATATATATATATATATATATATATATATATATATATATATATATTTTTGGAAAAAAATTACTATGTTTTAACATCCTATATGTATGTTGTTGAAAATTAAGATCGTTACCTAAAATTTTAGATGGAGGGATGAAATTAAGACATCAATTAAAATAGATAGATGCAATTAATAAAAAAATATGATTAAGACAAACAGAAAACAATAAAGAAATATATTGAACCATTAAGCCGATTGCCAATCATTTTTTGTTTTTATTGTTGGGCTAAGTTTATATATCTGTACACCTATTCTTTAAAATATTTTATTGACTTGCATCTCAATAGAGTACTACTAACGTCACGATATCCAATACTGTATGTAATTGGGCTAATAACAATGTGGTCTCATTACTATCGGAGTTTCATTAATTGGGTCCTCTTAATGCTAATTTGAAAAAGATTTCTTTACATTACATTTTGTTTACAATCAAATCCCTCAATTGATCAACCTATGACGATGTTGCTAGTTATTTATTGTTACACTGACCGGATATTGGATAACGTATGTACATTTAAAATGGAAAAAAATTTTGGAACAAGAAAATCGATGAAAATGCCATAACACAACGGAAGTTGCAAATGCTAACAAACAAATTTAACTATATCCCATCAGAAGCTAGTAATTAAGATAAAAAAAAAAAAAATTGAAATTTTCATGTAAAGCATAAAAGTCCTTTTTTTTTCCCCCTAATTTTAGTGACGTAGGATCAATACTTTTATTTTTGTAAAATATATAAATGTTCAGCATGCATGCGTGTCCCAAATGTCATCTGATTAATCCAACCCCAAAAACTGTTGCTTTCAAGTTTTCTCATCCATGCAAAAACCAGACCTAATTTCACTTTTAATAAAGGGCAAAAAGAGGTATTCTTTAGTCTCTTTTATCGAGGGAGACAAGCAGTTCTTTTCGCTTTGAAGATGACTAGACCGCCGGTATAATATCAGAGCGTTTTATTCTGGGTTTCAAAACTACAGCCTCTCGTAGTGCAGGCAATATAGGAATTTAGGGTAGGTAGGCATGGTTGAGTCATTGTTACAAAAGTTTCTTAAAGTGATTGAACTCCTCAAAATCAAAAGTGAAGACAGCATGATGCTTTGATTGCCAAAAAGTAAACCATCTTACGGCCCGTTCTTCTAGACTTGTATAGGCAAGCACAAATATTAACAAAACATGCATCTCGGCGTCTCTGTCTTGACTTAAACTTGCTTTTAGCAAAGTTTTTATAATGATGGAAAGTGAGCGAATATAATCCATTACGTATATCTTGTCACCTTTATATGAGGCACAGTTTATAGTGGTAGTTACTTAGTAACATTAATTTGTGAGCTTGTGATTATAAGACTGTAATATTATGTCATCTATACAAGAATATACCGATCAATGGTTATTTCATGCAACATTATGACAGTTTACCAGAAATGTTCCAAGTTAGGCATGCTAGCTAGGTATGCCTTTTTTCCCCCTTTTTTTAAACAGTGAGTTTATCCGTGAGGTAGTTTTTATAAGCAAAGATCAAGTCCTTAAGCAGGCCATCAATGGAGTATTTTTTTTTATAGCCATCTTTAGAATTCAAATCCTGAATATTATATGAAGGGGTATGTTCAATTGCCAACCAAGAGACGAAGTCTCAAAGGATGCAAATTTACTTATTCGTGTGAAGCTGGTGGCATTTGAAATATTATAAAGGTACTTTTTGTTATCGATAATTTATTATTTATTATGTAAATTTGACTCTATCTTGTTTGGTCTTGACTGTCAGAAGTGTTTAAAAGGATGGAGGTTTGTGTCACGCCCCACAGGCCACTTCCCACAACGATTGTCCATTCTGTAATTTCATACATACAGAAAATCTGAAGCATATGAGTAGCTGGGCAGTACCCACAATTATATATTACATGGAGCAGAGGTAGCTAAATAGTAATCAGACATCATAACTTGGTACGTAAATTTATTTTTCACACATAATATCAGGCATAAGGCATTGCCTTATCAAATAATTTATAATATAACGAAGAGGTAAAAATTTAAATCCTAACAATTTAATTTTAATATAAGTCTTAGGTGTGCGAATTAAAAAAAAAAAAAAAGTATAAAAAAAGTAATGCATTGCCTGATTTTGAACAAGAGGCCATCATCTCTCTACCGCTTGTGTGTTGAATTATGCAATCGATGCCTTCTGGCTCATAAAAAGTAAACTTAAAAGACCTCTTGTCTCTTCAATCAATTCCTCAGTATAACCAACAGATGAGCATTGAGCTCTGTGGCGTAATTAGCTCACGTCTGCATGTAATCATAGTCATCACAGCAGAACCAACCAGTGTAGGAATTGGCCAACACTCGGGTTCATCAATTTATCGGTTCAAGCCATAATTTTTGGGTTTAATAATTAATTACCATATCAATCACTAGATGAATATATCGGTAATTATTCTTTTCCTTCTCGTTTGAGAGCGACATTATAGATATTTTTATGTGCATATATACCTGTAAAGTTTAGCACGTAGCATAAATTTGAAAGAGAATAAAAAACTACCATGAATTTTTGGTCAATAGAAAATTAATAATCTCTTAACTTTTTTAATCTGATTTAGATCGATAATCATTTTCTTTTTATCTATAATTAATCTCATCCTTCCATCTCCCTGTTAAATTTAAATCCACATACAGACTATAGTTACGCAATACCTTAAAAAAATGACACTTGTTTTTAGAAAGATACTCCAGTTGCATTTCTCTTTTTTTCCTAAATAATTTTTTATAAAAATTACAATAATTATTATCAACAAAAATAAAATACTTATAAGTTTTTTACTAAAAGAATGTTTCTCTCCTCGACCACTCCAAATTCATTCTTTAATCTCTCTTCATGCGAAACCAACAGCTCTTCGATTTCCATCCTGTTCTTCACCCTCCAAATCAACAACCCATAATCAATTTTATACTTGAATTCATGCTAAATAAAATTCCATTCGAAGGGAACAAAGCAATATCCTTAATTTTATGCTTGCTTTCTAGTAGATCAAAATCCGCATACCAGATTCAATTAAATCTTCTTGATTCGAAGAAAGAGCCAATTTCATGCCACGAAGTAATGACGTTGGATAAAGCAAAGTAGTTCTCAGTGAAGGGAATATTCGTGGGCTGTGAGCCTGTGAACAGAAGGTGGAATTGGAAGAGATGTCTCCTAATGCCATATTTTCACTGGAACTTGATTTGTCCATTCAAAGGAAGACCCAGACTCGTAAAAGAGGACATCAGTACTGAGATTCACTACATCTTGCTCTTTCTGGATTCTGATGCATCCCCTACTTCCTCATAACATGAGTAAATTCTTTATCGATGGCACCCTAATCGCAATCATTACGGTAACTATTTGAAACAACAATAGGATCAAGGCTTTGACGGAACATTAATTGTAGTGGCTTTCACGATTTTGATTAAATTTTAGAAAAATTTAATTGACCGTCCAATCACAATTGAAGATATTTATGATGAATGTTCCAGTCCATAAAAATTACTCATTGGAGGAACCTTGTGAAACCATTAATGGTAATAATAGTGATGATATATACATATATCAAGCTTTCAAAAATAAAATTACTTCCTTGCAGACAATTTTAGGGATGATGAATTAGAAAAAATAGCTATTTATATGTACGCATATATATTCTCTACTACTAATTACCATTTTCTCAAATACGCTTTCTCTACTTCTCTTTGTCTTTATAAATTTCATTTAATAGATAACTCAATACAATTTTTGGTTTGAGAATTTATATTTATATGATGTATTTACATATCTATTAAAGTGTAAATTTTTGGTTGAGAATTCAGATGCATTCTTTTTTAATTCCATCGCTATATACTATTAGTGACAGATTAGAAACAATATGAATTTTGTCGTTAATATTATGGACGCTATTTTCTTAGCGATTGAAATTTTTTTTCGTTACTAATTTATTGAATTTCTATAGTTAAATCAATCTAAAATAATTGTCTATGAGGTCTTATATCCGTCATCATGTTGTTGCTATTTCCACTCAATTTCGTTGCTAAACAAAGGAATTTTTTATTTTTATTTTTTAACTCAATAGCGGTATATTGTTAATTGTAATAACAAACAACTATAAATAACATTTTATTAACACACGATATATTATTTAATAAAATTAAAATAGTATAAATTGAATTGAAATAAATGCGTTAAGATGTACAAAGATATTAAAAACTTTTTTATAAAAACAAGAAATTTAGTTCTCATGATCATCATCTCTTGCATCATCTCTTGACTACTAGGTGTTGAGATGAAGAACTCACTCTTGGGTTGTGGAATGGTCAACAAAAGGGATGTGAGTATGCTATGGGTTTTGTAACAACCTCATAACTGTTTGTAACTAACTATATGATGCTAACTTGATTGTCTTGTTGCTATATGCTGAGATATCCGAGATCGATAATTGTCTCGGATGCCTAATTGAAATTAAATCTCAAACTTGTCCTTCCAGCTCCATTGCAAAGGATTGAATACATACGAAATAATTAAACTAATTAATTATAATTCTAACCTAATTAAGTTTAAAATAACAATAAATTAACAATTTCAATATAAATAACATTATAATTCAATAAATTAAACAAAATTAACCTAATTAATTAATTAATTACAAATCAAACTAACTTAATTAATTACAATTCTAACCTAACTAAGTTTAAAATAATAATAAATTAACAAGTTTTTATATAAACAAAATAATAATTCAATCAATGAAACAAAACTAACATAATTAATTAAATAAATATAAATCAAATTAACTTAATTAATTCTAGTTCTAACCTAATAAGTTTAAAATAACGATAAATTAACAAGTTTTGATATAAATAAAATTAACCTAATTAATTAATTAATTATAAATATAATTAACTTCATTAATTTTAATTCCTACCAAATTAAATTTAAAATAAAAATTAATTAATAATTTTTAATTTAAATAAAATTAAAATTCAACCAATTAAACAAAATTAACCTGATCAATTAATTAAAATCAAATTAACTTAATTAATTATAAATCTAACCAAATTATATTTAAAATAACAATTAATTAACAATTCTAATTTAATTAAAGTTAAAATTCTACCAATTAAAAAAATAAACCTAATTGATTAATTAAACATAAATCATATTAACTTAATTAATGCTAATTCTAACCAAATTAAATTTAAAATAAAAATTAGTTAATAATTTATAATATAAATAAAATTAAAATTCAACCAATTAAACAAAATTAACTTAATTAATTAACTAAACATAAATAAAATTAAGTTAATTAATTAAAAATCAATTCTCCGATTAAATTTAAATAACAATTAATTAATAAACTTACCTAACAATTTACAAAATTTAACAATTTAACAACTTAATCAATAAATTGACCTAACAATTAACAAAAATTAACAATTTAACAAATAAATCAATAAAATAAAAATTATATATTTATATAAAATTATAAATTAAGCAATTAAACTTAAAATTAACCTAACAATTATAGCAAATTACTAACTTTAATAAAGAAAATAAAAGAGAGAAAAAACTTACCTAATTCGGATATAATTACATCAAGATGAGGGAAAGGAAAACTGGAGTTTTTTTTTTTAGAAGAAAAGAGCTTGGAGTAGGTTTAGGTTGATTGAGAGTGGAGGAGCGGAGTTAGGTGGTGGTTTGAAAGGGGAGAGACCGGCGGTTAGTTGGAGAAGGAGAGAAAGATGAAAATAGGAAAGGAGGAAGAAGAAAGGGGTTTAATTGAAAATTGAAAAATAGCAACGGATGTGATACTCTTATTCATCCGTCCTTAATTAGTGATAGACACTTACGTTCGTCGCTAATTTATCGAAAAATGGGCAAAGTTGGACGTTCATTTTTTACATATAGCAATAGACGTCGGTGTCCGTCGCTAATCCATCGCTAATTTAGCGATCTTGATTTTTAAAAACTCCACTCGGTATTTCATATTTAGTGACGGACTTCCCGTAGCTAATTTATGAAGGATATTTATTTTAGCGATGAATATTCTATTACTAAATCGAGACATTGAAAATAGCGATGGATAAACAATTTTGTCATTATATTTTTTAGCAAATCCATTATTAAACCGTCTCTAAAACTCTTAGAAATATTTAACTATTAAATTTAGCAATGGATTGGTGTTCTTCACTAATAAACCGTTTTTAATCCGTCTCTATTCTATCCCTAGTTCTAATAGACACTATTATGTTACTATTTGCTTGTTATTTAGCGATGAAAGTTTATTCATTGTTATTTGATGATTTTATAGTGCATCCGATTCAATTCATAGTGTTTTTTAGGTTTAATAGCAAATTTGACCCATGCACTCTATTGCGATTTAACAATTTCGGACGTTTAGTATCAAATTGCATAATTTGAATCCTAAACTATTGATTTTTGGAAAAAATTGATTCAATTTTCTTAATTATCACTATATATAATGATCAACTAGGTTGACCGTTACTTGAAATGCTAAAATGACGTCGTTTTGGCATTTTGTTGTTAATTATATTTTTTAAAAAAAATTAAAAGTATTTTTAACTCCTCTAATCTTTGAATTTTTTTAAATAAATTCTTATAAAATATTATAAACATTTTATAAATTATGTAAAAAACAATTTGTAAATATTTTTAACCCCCCTAATTTTGGATTTTTTTAAATTTTTTTATAAAATATTATAAACATTATATAAGTTTTTTTATATAATTTATAATTTCTAAAATTAGAAAGGTCAACCCTTAATTATGCTCATTTTAATTTATAAATTTTTTTTAAGGCTCGAAATTATGTGTCGTTAATTATTTTTTTACAATGTTTTTTTATAAAATATTTATAATATCTAATGAGTATTAAAATATTTATAATATAACATATAATATTTTATAAATTAAAATAAGCATAATTAAGGTTTGACCTCCTTAATTTTATGAATTATAAATTATAAAAAAAAACTTTTTTGAAGGTCTAGCCTAGAGGTCAGTCTTTCCTTAGTCTATAGGTTCTCATAAGAGAGATTCGATAAATGAAGCATTTATAAAATGTTTATAATATTTTATAAAAAGATTTTTTTTTTAAATTCAAGATTAGGGAGGCTAAAATATTTTTAAAAAATATAATTAACAATGTAATGCCAAAATGACGTCGTTTTGATATTTTAAGTAACAATCAACTTAGTTGATCGTTACATATAATTACAATTGAAAAAATGGATCAATTTTACCCAAAAATCAATAATTTAGGGTTTAAATTAAACAATTTGGTACGAAGAGCTGAAATTACAAAATCGTAATAGAATAGGAGCAAAATTTATCATTAAACCATTTTTCTATTTGAAAAAAAAATGATCCGATTCAAAAACTGAATTGGCCAAACTTCAAATATACTAATTTTAAGAGGGAATTAGCTCAATACATCATTATATTTTGTGTTCATTCTTTAATTTATTTTTATAGGCCTGATCGCTCTCAATTTGTTTTTGAATATACATAGTGACATTCTTTAATTTATTATTTTGTCAAATATTTCCATTTGAATTGATAAAAATGTTCCCATATGAGAAACTCAAACCTAACTTGACTCGTTAAGCAATATTTTTGATAAGGAAATACTTTTAGCACTACACTACAATTTGTTTTTTGCTTTTTTTTGTGCGAATGTAACTTCGTTATTGGAGATTGAAATATTTGTGAGAATGTTGTAGGTTGGAGAATGACCTAAAATATAGATAGATATGAAACAATTAGATTTGTAGGAATATGTTGGTATGTTGGAAATTATTCTTGTAAGGATAAATTGAGTTAATATCTCACTTATCATAAGAGTTGATTTGGTTGAATTCCGGTAACTTTACAAGTTAAATTTAAGTTAGTCCTTGCAATTTATATTAAAATATAATCAATTAGTCCCGATAGTACCAAAATAATTCATTGAGTAATGTTATCCATCCTCAATGAGTTGTAACTAGTTTGATACTCGCGTTACGTTGTAGTCGGACAACAATTATATACGCAAGGTTAACGATTCGTATGGTGCGATATGAGTAAAAGTTTTGTTTCGAAGATTAATGTAAATCGAATCTATATATTAAGCGAACTTGTTTGATTTATACATATTTATTAACAAAATAATTATAAAATTAGTATAAAAATTTGTATTTAAATAATTACGAGGTTCTTTCAAAATATTAATTAAATTATTTTATTTAAAAATATAGATTTTAGAACATAAAAAATAAAAAATAAATAATTGATGTTATGTATGCGGATATAATTAATTTCTAAAAAAACTACTATATATGTATCATACTTAGCAGATTGAAAGTATATAGAATAAATAAAAAAATATATATACAAAAAAACAACCGAAATCGTATGGAATATATCGAAGTGAATAGATTTAAATAAAAACTATTATAAAATTAATTTTGATAAATTCAGATTATATATATATATAAAAGACCAAATAAAACCTATGAATTTTTTAACTAATAATTAATTTTTAAAAAAATTAAGTCAAATTATCTAAACACACAATTAGCTCTCTCTTTCATCATAATTTATATATACAACTACGCTACTCTCATTTAAAAATCATAAAAATAATCAATCGTATAAATTATAATAATATATTTTTAAAAATAAAAAATCACCTTTTTAAATTTTATTTCAAAATCAATATATATAAAAAATCAAATTTATTAACAAATAAAATTATATAAAAAATAAAGAAATTACTTTGATGAGAATTTTAATAACAAATAAACAATTGAAGAAATAAATTTTAAATAATAAAATAATATAATTCGATATATATGTTCAAACTAAAATCTTAAAAAATATCATCTATATTTTATTACCATCAAATTGTACTTAAAAGTAAAAAAAAAACAATTTTTTTTTATATTTTCACACCTAATTTCATGATAAAAAAAATATAAAAATAAATTATTAAAAGGAAAAAAATAAAAAGGCAAACGGGATTGCTTGTGTAGGCTTGTGAGCCAAACCAGGCCTGCCTAAGCCTGCTGCCAAGCCTAGCTGAGCTTGCTTCTCCAAAACTGGGCTGTTGGTTAGCCTTTAAAAAAAAATGAAATGCTACAGTAAATGAATAGTTACAACATAGATATTTTAGTTTTTTTAATAATAAAAAATATAAAAATAAATTATTGAAAGGAAAAAAAAAAGTCAAACGAGACTGCTTGTGCATGCCTGTGAGCCAGGCTAGGCCTGCCTGAGCCTGCTATCGGGCCCGGCTGAGCCTGATTCTCCAGGATTAGTTTGCTTGCCAGCCCTAAAAACAAAAAAAAATAAATAAAATAAAAAATGTTATAATAAATGAACAGTAACCGCCCCAGATCTTTTAATTCTTTTTGTTCCAAAAATGCCTCTTCCTAGTCAAACTTCCTATCTTACCTACTTCTCTTATCTTTTATCCAAAAAAAAAGAAAAAAAAAAGAAAAAAGAAAATCATGAAATTGAAGAAAAGACTAAGTTGACAGATTTCAAAATATAGGGATCAAACGTTTAGTTTCTAAAGCGACAAAAACTTTTAAATTAGTTTTGTAAAACTACAGGGGCTAAATTACGATTAATCTATGTATATACCCATGTAACTGTACACCAAAACAGTAATAATGACTTCACACAGATCAGTGTTACATTTACCTATAGAAGACAAATGAAGAGCAATACATATATAGAAAGTGATGGAATGATTTATCCAATGCCTTAAACTAAACGAGAAGCCACTCCATGCACGAATGAATGCGTGCCACAATGGAACAGGCGATCGTTCAAACTGTCGTACCCTAACTTAGTGTGATCCATAAATCCCTGAAGAAAAGCTAGATTCCCTTTTCTTTCTCTTTGGCCAAGTCTACTGAACTTTCCTTTTCTTTTTGGCAATGAAAGTTCCTACGTTGGTCATAAAAACCAAGAAGTGCCCGATTGGTAGTTTCAAAATATATCTCAATCTTTCTCAAAATTTTGAAAATCAATATGTTTCGAGTGTGCGTGTGTACAAATGCAAGTGGTTCCATTAAAAAACAAACAAGGGAAGTTAGACAACAAGAGGATGAAGACATGCATGGTTAAGGCAGATATAGACAGACAGGACCCTTCTATGGTGATTCATGCAGCTTTAACAAGAAAGAGACGGAGTGGCAGCTAATGTAGTAAACAGGATTGGAGCGGGGCTATTTTGGGAAACTGAAACGAGGAAGGAAAGGGACCCTTCACTACAGCTTTGGATGCCAGGTCCGCATGACTTTACACGCAAAACTATGGTGTTTTGGGCCTTTCCTTTCCCTTTCATAATTGTATTTAGTCTCGTCCTAAACAAAAGGCCTAAACCCACATACTTTTTTGAATCATTATGTCTCTCCTTCAACCCTTCATTCCAAGGTTCAATAAAAGTGATTTGTGATTCCCTTACTTGTGAAATGACTATTATCTCTTAATTTTCTTCGTACATAAGTCTACGAATTTCTAATTTTCTTATCTTATTCTCTTTCTTTCTCGTTTTTTTTTTTTTCTCATTTAACAGTCTAATCCATTACTTCAATTTTATTCTGTAGATATTCAAATCTATGCACAGTACCTATGAGACAAGGGCATGCCCTATAAAGAAACATCATGCCTTTATAAACCAGCACAAGCAAAGCCTTTTTTTTTGCCATAAAAAATGCTAGTGATTTATTATAAATCCTGATAAATAATCTTTAAATATGCTGGTGACTTTTTATTTTGTAATTTATTATGATTCTTGATAATAATCTTTAAATATGCTAGTGACTTTTTACTTTTGAGATTTTGTATAGTTAATCTTTGGCTTCCATAAATTACGTGTCTGCAAATTAGTTTTTTCTTTGATCTTTTGGTCAAGTGGGGATGACTAAATAAATTTCATGATTCCTATGGATTTTTTTTTCATTTCTTTGGGGATAAATTGGCATCCCTTTTGGTAGATAATAAAATATAACCAGTAATCAGTAAAAGCAATTAAGAAATAAAAGCAGCATTATCTTATCTTGAAGGGTAATTTGCAGCAATTATTGAGAGAAGCAAACAAAAGAAGAAGCGTGGCATAATCATGACCATTCTACATCAAAAGAAACCCCAGATATCATTATCATCATTTACATATACCCTCATGGTTAAATGATTGGTAGTGGATAGGTACTGTTTGGGAAACCAATAATTATAAGAATAATCTGTAGTGATCTCACATTGCTGTAAATATATAAGCACTAAAGAAAAAAAAACCTAATTAACTGTATATAAAAGAAGAAACAAACACAAAGTAAAACATAATTAGAGAAGGTTGAGCTTAAGTACTCTTGTTCAATCTCCTTTCACCTATTAGAAATGGGATTTGGACCACTAGGAACTTCATGGGCGCTAGCATTGAAAATCCCTTCCTGCCATGGTAATGGAGATCTATGCGCTCGAAACCGGCCTCTCCTTCGACTACCCTGTGGAGGAACGTGGATAACATTAGCCTTCGAAACTGCCTTTGCATTTCCGCCCATGTCATGTCTTCTTGTAGCAAAGTCCATGTCGTTTTTCTTGAAATATTCTACATCTCCATCTCCATCTCTTGTGGTACTAAGTAGGAATCTATGCTCTTTGTTGGCCATGGTGTGGGGCAAGATAAGAAGGAAGAATAAGATGGTTAAAGAAGTGAGATAGGGAGATCCTACATCACTAGCCATGCAAAAATAAGGATTGTTATATATCATGAACCATCAAAAAACACACAAGGTTAAGTGATTTTAGCATCTATATATATTTTTAATTGTCCAGTGAAACAAATGGTTGGCAAAGGTGAAAATTAAGCTTAGAGAAGTTGAAATAGCTAGCTAGGAAACAGAGGATTTGTGACTTGTGAAGAAAGACTTTGTAGGGTTTGATTATAAGAATTTAAATGAGAGAGAGAGAGAGAGAGAGAGAGAAAGTGGGTAGCTAAAAGAAGATATGAAAAGAAGGAAAACAAAGCTGGATGGTGGACTGCTTTAGCAATGTGTTGAGAGTGATGGGGATACGTGGATGAATGGCTTTATCAATGTCCTGTTCTAATGGCGGTGAAAAAATGCAAAGTAGTAATAGCTTGATAGATAAATAACGTGTTTTTCCGTACGAGAAAGAGATTAAGAGAGGTGTTTTGGCATTATTTTGAATGGGATAAATACAATATAAGTGCATTCAATCGAGTGTATAAATCGAGTATATAGATTTTAATATTTTTTTGAATACATAAAGTTTTTAAAATTATTAATTAAATATTGTTGTTGATTTTTTCATTAAGTGATAACAAATTTGTTGTCACTAAAATGCTGAATTATAATTTTGTACTTTTTTTTAGTCAAGTGTATGGATTTTATTTTTTTCTCATTTTAGGGCATCAATTTTTTTTCCAAATTATCAATAAAAAAATATCATCAATTTTTTTATTAACTCGATGAAGTTTTCTTTCAAAATATCAAATTAAATTTTTTTTTTTTTTCAGAGTGAACTTTTCTCTCAAATTATTTTACTATTTTTAAATTTGATAAAAAATAAAAAACATTATCTTTTAGCTATAAAGTTCTGAATTAAATTCAATTAAATTTAGATGTAAAAAATAAAATAAAATCCAAACGTATGATTTTTTTTTTAATCAAGAAGATCCACTTCTTGTGAAAGTTTGAGGTGAAGTTTTCTCCAATAAAAGAGAAAAAAATTACAATTTGATATTTTAGAAACAATGAATATGTCATTAGTTAACGAGAATAATTGATTGATAATTTTGAAAAAAATTGATACACTCAAATAGAAAAAATAAAAATAAAATTCATATATTCGATTTTTTTTAAAAAAAGACAATATATAATTTAGTATTTTGGTGATAACAGACATTTTATTAGTTAATGAAAAAATTAATAAAAATATTTAATTGATAATTAAAAAAAAATAGTATACTCAAATAAAAAATAATTAAAATTTATATCTTTAATTGAATAAAATAAAAGTTGGTGTAATTATGGTGATGTTATCTCTTTTTTGGCTTACTACTTGACCTTTATGGCAGTGAGCGAAGGAGATTGGAAACAACCTATAGTCTCCTGGGAAGAAGACCAAGTGGGCCCTGAAAGGAGATTGGATGAATGAAGGAACATATGGCAACATATATGACAAAAGCACAAGCAAACAATACGAGATTCAAAACTGGGTACAAGAAGTCTCAGGACCTCTGTGGCTGTTAAGATTTGGGGTTTCGTAGAATGAAATTTGGGAATGGGATATGGATTACAATTACCCAAGTCCTATTAATACTTATGTTAGGGAAAAAAAAAAAAAAAAACATACAAAAGAGAGAGACAAAGTAAAATGAGGATTTGGGCAAGTCTGCCCGTTTTGGTTCCCTCTTAAACAAAGAGAAAGACAAGTAAACGTGGCTCCTGCTTACCCAAGTGTAAAAACAGGTTTGAACAATCCTGCACAAGCTTTGAACATATTAGGCCCATTAAAACTACTCAAAGCCTAGTACAGGACTTCGTATCGCATCTGAATCAATAGTCACTGTCGGCTGATCCTTTTTTTTTCATCTAACCAGACATGAAACGTCATGAAATGTTTTAGATAAAAAACTAGGTTTTTTTATCCCCGTTACGCTACAGGTAAAATTATTTAAAAAAATTATTTTAATTTGATAATCTATTTTATGATGTGAATGTATAAAAAATATGAAATCAAAAAATAAAAAAATAAATAAATAAATTTTTTAATGTAATTTGAAATTCAATGGAAAGAATTTTTAAAAAACAACAAATTAAAATAATAAATTTTAAATAATAAAAATAATCAATAAAAAATACTAAAACAAAATGGGATCAAACCATAATACAATTAAAGTTTGAAATTTTAAAAAATATATATTGTATAAAAAAATTGAGTACTATATAATTTTAAATTAATTGAATGAGAAAAGAATGAATAATATTAAAATAAATGAAAACTATCATTAAATCTAATTTTAAATTAATTAGATGAGATTTTGAAAAAAAATGACAAATTAAATTTATAGATTTTAAATAGTAAAAAATAATTAAAACAAATTAAAACAAATGGGCTAAATCACAATGCAATTAAAGTTTAAAATTTAAAAAAAATTGTATAGAAAAAAAAAAAAAAAAAATATATATATATATATATATATATATATATATATATATATATATATATATATATATATATACAAAAAGACACACACACATACACACATAATTTATTGTATAAATTATAATAATATATTTTAAAAAATAAAACATTGACATTCTAAAATTTTAATTCAAAATTTATATATTAAAAAAATAAATTTATTAACAAATAAAATCATATAAAAATTTAATTTGATGTGAATTTTAATAAGAAATAAATAATTAAAAAATAAAATTAATATATATATATATATATATATATATATAAGGGAGAGAAGCACCTGTGCAACCTGTGTTGCACATGAAGAAGAAGAAGAAGAAGAAGCAAGGGAGGCTAGGCCCCCACGCCAGGCTTTGTCTATCGAAAAAAAAAAATCATGCAACTTCCTAGTGAACTTGAGGTCGTCAAAAATCAAGGCTCAATTTTTAAACCCTTAAAAATTGAATTTCGGCATCATTTTTTTTTCTCGTACACTTCTAATTGACCGAATAAAGTCAATAAACACATCTAAAACCTTAAAAATCATTTTAATACACAAAAAAAAAAATACAAAATCAAATCGGATTTTTTTCTTTTTTTGGCTCCGATCTACCTCCTCTAATTGTTCAATGGCTTGAAACCATCATGGACAAACTCATATCTCAAAGATAAAAAAAATCTAGTGGATTTTCGCTAACCGGAGTGGCCTAAATGAACTTAGCCAACGATCTCTCTCTCTTTCCTCTCAACCTTCTCTCTCCACCTAGGGACCAAAGTGGATGAGGAAATGAACATTTGGATCGTAATATGAGTTCAAAAATATCGAGAACCAAAGTGTAAAAAAAATTTATGAACAATGAAAGTAATAATGAATTGTGAGAGGGTGAATAGTGAAATGTGAGTGTGTGTACGAGTGTTTCAAGTAAAATAGCTATAGTATTTGGACGTTTTACTTTAGTTTATTAGTTAATTAGTTGGATATCCATGTTAAGTTGTCATTGTACAACCATTATATACATAAGATTAGTAATTTATATGGTGTAGTATAGATAAAAATCTTATTTTTCATATTAATGTAAATAAAATTTATTTATTGAGTTATATATGTTTATCGACAAAATAATCAATAATATTAGTATAAAAAATTATATTTAAAAAATTGAAAGGTTCTTTCAAAATATTATTTCAATTATTTTATTTAAAAAATATTGATTTTAGAGCATAAAAAAATAAATAACAAACAATTGGTATTATGTGTGCATATACATAATTAATTTCTAACAAAACTAATGATATATATTTCAATTATTTTATTTAAAAAATATTGATTTTAGAATATAAAAAAGAATAAATAACAAATAATTAGTATTATGTCTATAGATAACAATTAATTTTCATTCTTAGTAGATTCTGATTATATAGTATAAATTTTTTTTTTAAACAAAAAATCATCTAAGTTATATAAAATATATTAAAGTCAATAAATTAAAATAAAACTACCACAAAATTGATTTTCATAAATGTTACTTCTTAATATATGATGAAAGAGATTCTTAAATTGCAAATTAAATTATAAATTGTTTCATCTTGTTTTGAGAAATTAATTAATTAATTCTTTTGGTTTCAAAAATTAATTATTTAATTTTTTTAATCGGTGTTGACTATGAATAATTTATTTTTTATTTTACAAAATATCTTTTTTATATATTTTACTGTTTTTTTTCTTTCTCTATTTCTTAAAACAAAACATAAAAACATTGAAATAGCAAAAAGGACAAAAAAAAAAATAGTTTTTGAACCTAAGGAACTAATAAATTTGTTTCTCGAAGAAAGAGGGACTAATTTATAACCACTCTTGAATAGCAGGTGACTTTTGACTTTCCTATCAAAAATAAAAAGAAAAAAAAAACATTGAAAAAAGACATGAGTGTTAAATACTCAATCTTAAAAAAAGAATCAGTCAAGGGTAAAAATGAAGTTTTTTAAATCCATTAATTGGCAAAAGAGAAATTAGCGAAAAAATAAGAGGCAAAAAGTCAAGCAACACAATTAATAGTGAATCTAAATCTAAAATAATAGTAAAATAATAGAAAATATCTCAGTTCTTTTAATTTTTTTTGACTAATATATATTAAATTAAAAATAAAAGATAAAACTTTTATTTGATTAATTTCATAATTTTTAATCAAATTTTGTATTTCGTTCGTGCTTCTTTATTATTATTATTATTTTTTATAGATTTTGTTGCTAGAAAAACACAATTCCTTTTTTTTTTATTCATTCGTTCTTAAATAAAAACCTACAATAATACAAATATAAAATTTTTAAAAATATCTTAATATTTTTTTATAAGACTACAGCAAAGAAATATATCAACAATCAATATAAAAATTAACTAATGAATCTTTTAAACTTTTAAAAAATATGTACATTTGATGTTTAGACACACACACACACACACAAAACAATCAATAATATTAGGTAAAAAAACATGTATTTGAATTACTTGATAGTACTTTTAAAATAGTATTTTATTTAAAATAAAATAAATTTAGAATATTAAAAATAATTAATAGGAAATAATTGGTGTTATATATGTAGATGTATAATTAATTTTTAATAAAATCAATAATATCAATACGTTTTTGTATATATCATTACCATACTCGTTACAAATTAAAAAATTTGTTTAAAAACTTAAGTTATAAGAAATATATTAAAGTTAATCGAATGCAATAAAAATAATTTAAAATTTTATTTTAAAAAATTGATTATATCGAGAATAAGGTAAAGAAACAAGTGAATTCTATTATTTATTAAAAAAATATTAAAAATTCATACGTGGAGAAAGATAATCATATTTATTAACAAACAAAATTTCATAAAAAATAAAAAAATTAACTTGATGAGAATTTTTATAATAAATGATAAATTTAAGAAATTAATTTTAATCAATAAAAAAAATATAATCCGATATATATGTTTATTCTAAAATCTAAAGACATAAGAGGCTAAAAACATCTTTTAACAATATGAAAAACAAAGAATATATTTTGAAAAAATATGAGACAAAAATGGACTAACTTAAAAACATAAGATGTCAAAATATGAAGATTTAAAAATATATTTTTAAAAACATAAGGGACCAAAAAGGAATCAAATGTAAAATTTAAAAACGAATGCCCAAAAAAATAAGAAAATTACAAAAATATCATTGTATAAAATCACAAAATTACCATTAATGAATAATAAACTGAGGCAAATGAACAATAAATGAATTTCTGTTCATTTGTCACAGTTCTTTTAGTTTTTCACTTAATTATCACCTTGCAACTCGCTTGCCGTTGTAAACTAATAGATCAGAGAACAATTACAGGTTGAACATATAAAAAATAATGTGGCATGCATCAAAGGCTATTATAGATTTTGGCTAACTGTCGAATAACATTCTCAAATTTTTACACAGTTAATAAAAAAGAAGACAAAAAAATCATCAAAAAGAACCAAAAAAAAAAAAAAGGAAATTAAAGAGAGCAAATTAAACTCAGAAAACAATTACAGAAACAAAATCTTTTAATTATTGGAATTGACAGAGTAGCATTTGGTTCGAATTTCGCCTCCATCGTGAACTGTAGGGACTAGGATATTGCCAAGTTTCGTCATGGACACTGCAAACTGGTGTTCGAAGAAATCTGAAGGCCCATCAGCCAATGCATCAACAATTGGAGAAGTCCTTGGGTCAGAATATAGCGATTGATCCGTGGTCAAAAGCCCCAGGTTGCCTTGAAGATTCTTGTAGTAAACATTGTCAAAAGCCTGCGGGGTTCTAGCATCTAGATCAACATACTCAGAGGCCCATCTGCATTTTCTTGTCAAGAAGTTTGCGTATCCGTAATCAAGGGATTCATCTGGTCTGCCGATTCCTGCATAGTTGTTGTACAGCCTATGTTGTACTGAACCGCATGTAGCCCTGCCGATTGTATGTGCCCCTGTCAAAGACAAAAAAAGAAGCATAGATACACAATTAGTATAAATCCATATCCACATTTGGCTCTTAAGTTCTTAATTAAACACTAATAAGTATGTTATGCTAATTAGTTCACCTGAGAGAATCACCAAATCAAGCACATTCAAACCCTTAGATTGGTAGAATTCAATCAGGGTAGTGATGTTTTCCCGGCCCATTGGCACTAAATCAGCATCCCTGTCGATAGAAACTTTCCCATCTGTCCTTCCATACGGAACATCCCAGTATGGACCGCCAAGAAGAAAGGTAGCATCTCTAGAAGCTGCGGTTAGAATGTCAGCACATGATACAGTTCTTGGGCACTCTTCCTCGATCTCAGCTTTGATAGCATCAATTACTTCAAATCCTCTAAGAGACTTGCTTGCCTCTGCTGTTCTCTCACTTCCCTTGTGGTTCAACAGAATGGAACCATCACAACCCTATGAAGGACAAAAAAAATTTAATATGCCATTAAATATAGATAGAGTTTAATTAAAATCAACTGAAAACTATATATGTTGCTTGGACTTGGATACGAGTATTGGACACGGGTGCACGTCCACAGGATCATGATTTAAACTCACCTATGTTTCAATACTGTCATCCGACATGAATATTTGAGCTAAAATATTCAAATAACAGATGTTTTAAATATAATTAAACAGAAAAAAAAATGTATAAACAAAGGTAATAGTTTGAAGGGATTCTTACATATACGGCACAGTCGTGGAAGTGCAGCCTCAGGAGACTAGGAGCAAGGGTTCTGTCCTCTTTAACAAACTTAGTCACGTGTTTATTGATGATGGATTCAGCTTTAGGACAGCTCTTGCTATAGTGTCCGAAAGATAGCAGATCATCCGAAGACAAGCTATCCAGCAATGTTGGAATGTCCAATGAAGGTGCATGATCATCCTGTTCATCTCGATCTTCTTGTTCATAATTTTGATCATTCTGTGGTTGCTCTCTTTCTTGTTTGTAATTTTGATCATACTTAGCTGGTCCCTTCTCTTGCTTTTGATCTTGGTCGTCGTAATTTTGATCGTTCTGGGCTGCTCCTTCGTAATTATCATGGTAGGTTGCCCGTTCATATTTTCCGTTGTGGGCTGAGGCTAAAATCAATTGAAGAACAAGGATGAGGAGAAAAACAAAGGAAAAGGAGGACTTCATTTTTGAAAATTTTTTGGTTTAGTATAGTAGTTAGGAGCAGAAAATAGAAACTTGGGCTTATTGGGTGCAATAAAATTCTTGATTTATATAGTATATAGGTCAGTCATGTAGAGAATGATAATGCATGGGATATTCTATTTTTTGTTTTTAGGTAGAGAAAAACGTGAGAGGCACCCCCTCCTCAAACAAGAGATGACTTGCAAGCATGTATATAGAGTTGAGAACCTGCGCACTTTCATAAATAAAAAATAAAATAAATGTCAGAGTTCAAAATGATCGCATTGTTATCCTAAACCAAATATAGGAGTGGGGGAGCCATAATAAAAATAATTGACTTTTTTTGCATCATATTATTATTATTATTTTCTTATGCTACCTAATTAGGCCTATGGCAAATGGCATTTATATCATATTTCTGTACGGATTGGTTTTGTGCAAGACCAATCAAAGAACAGAGATTTAGGCCCAGTCCAACTGTGGAGGCTTATGCTGTTTGGGCTGACCCAAACTTAAGATCTTGGGACTTCCCAGCAATATTGAAGATAAATCTCAATGACTTGTGCAAACTGTAAATTTTATTATCTCCACATCCCATATGTTATTAACCTTGTGTAAATATTTGCATTCAAGCAACATCAAATTTATCATTTTCACTTTTTGGTAACTTAACAAACCCTTTTCTCCAACTATGGTCGTTTTTATTTATATATTTTGTCGACTCTGATCTGATATTCTTTTCCAATCTAACTGATCTAAATTAAATTAAAAGTAAATATAATGTAGTCCCTGTATTTAAAAAAAAAAGAAGACAAGTTGGTACATCGAGTTTTTAAAATTGTAAGTTAATCCTTTGATCAGTTTAGTTATTTATTATTATCATACCTACACCCCAACCCTAAATAATTCAAATTGTTTGTTCTTTCTCTCTTCATTGTGATTCTCTGGGGGAAAAAAAAACGTATTACGAAAATCACTATTATTATTCTCATCAATATCATGAGAAATACATATACAATTTTATTGAGTCAGATTTCATCTTTCTACCTAATATGGTTTGAATATGAATTTTTTGATCCACTTCAACTTCAAAATTTTGATATAAACTTAACTTCACCAAATTCAATAATATTATGGTCACACCTTTCAAAACGATTCTTCAAACTACTCTTTACCAAGTGTGGTAAAATTGCATGCGCTTTCATCTTTTAAAATTAATGTGCTTGATGATTGTGCATGTTTTTCACTTTCCATTTTCAAGGTACAAAAATCCAAAAAATAAAAACGGTTAATTACTAACTTGGAACCTTAACGAGAAGGATTTCAAAGCCAGCCAGTCACCCCAGAAAACCCCACCACCACCACCACAATACCCACCCCACCCCTCAAATGAAAGTAAGCCACAGCAACTATAGTTCAATTTAAGCCACTTTCCCCAAAAAATAATAATAATAATAATAAAATTAATCATAATTGAGTACGTATATATCGAAAATAATAGGGGTTTTTAGAATGAAAAAACAACAAAAAAAGAGAGAGAAGAAGAAGAAAGAAACCCTGAAAAAGCAAACATATACTAAGATTGTATAGAAAAGTCTCAAACTGTTTGTTAATAATCAACTTTCGAACTTAATCCCTTCGTATCTACAACTCTAAATATAATGCCTGTCCTAATTTTCACTTGAAAAATAAAATCACTTAAAAATTATGATAATCCTAATTGGTCGTAGACTGTGTGAGAGAGAAATGTAATTAAAGATACAAAAAAAAATAATATTGATTTGGATACAGTATGTGCTCCAAATAATGCTCCAAATAAAAAATGATCTGAAAACGTGTCGAAAAGATGGATTTTATTTTTCAAAATAACAATTATTTTGAACCTTTTCTAATAGCTCTAAAGTTCACTATAGTCCCTGAACATTATATATTAAGAGTTCTAATTAATTTTTTTCAATTTCTCTTTTTCTTATGTTGCCCAGACTGATCTTCCTTCTACGTGTTTTTTCCACTGCTTCTTCTCTTAATTTTTCCCTTCTCCAAGTGACAACTTTCAATTCTGCACAATTTTCAACTTCAACCACATTCTATACAAAGAAGCTCTCAACCTAATCACGCGGTTCCAACCTTACGTAGATCGACCGACCACCTTGTAGAACACTGCGTACTTTAGCTTGGATTTCATATGAAATCTGTGTGGTCAATTAGCTATGGCAAGTACGAAGAAGTCTTCTAAAATTAGCAATGTCGTGACGCCATCAAGAGTTGGGATTCTGTCATGCTAATTACAATTACAAGCACTCCAAGTTTGCCAGCCCAATTCCAATTGCTCTTCGTGGAACTTTACTTTGATAATATTTCTTCAACAATGAAAGTTGGACGGTTACCATTCTTCGAAATCTTTAAAAGTCACAATGACGCATTATCGAACGCTAGACTCTACCTTGCATGGTCCCTCATCGTGTGAACTTTAGACTCTAAGCAAAACAGATCGATCAATTCTAGGGACCAGCAGCTATAAGGTCTAAGCCAATGGCCACTCGAGCTTTAAGTCAGAAACTAGACAATAGCACTAACAAACTGAAGAAGATAAAAATTAATATAATTGCTATGCAGGTTAGAAACGTTTGACAATTTGGTCTGATAGATACCTGTACGTAGGATAGTAACCTTGGATAAGTGGTCCGTGACAAGACCTGAACTGCATGGTGATCTGACAAGTACTACTAGATGGCAAGGAAATGACATTGAAAAAGACCTTTCCGAACAATTTTTTCTTCTCATGATGTAATTAAACCACAACAAGTCTCAACTCATTAATTATATGGATTTATTTTTTAAGATGCTGCCTGATCATATATCAAATCATATTCTCCAGAGGTTTTAAATTCTTTGATACCATTTCCATCGCTGTTATCTTAAGTCAGCATTTATCCCTTTCCCCCACTTTCACTAAATCTCTATCCCTTTTCTATATCGGAGCATTTAGGGCCTCCTTTCTACTGATCGTTCCCCTTCTAAAAAGAAGTTCGAATGAATCCTTGCGAAAGAGTTGTACTAGCTCTGCCTCCTAACAAATAATAATAATAATAATAATAATCAAGTAATAATCAATTTAGATTTCTAAAAACTAATTTTCTGTTAAATAAATTTTAAATCAACAACGGATTAGTATAGCGATATGTGTGTTTTTATAAAAATTTCATCATTCAGTTTGAGTTAAATATTGCTTATATTAACAAGTAGATAGTGTATCTATGTCTTTATGCATTATCATAATTATCTTTAAAAAGATCCTAATTTTCGATTTAGACATAAGTACGGTAGGATCTTTTAAGATAAAAAAAAAAAAAAATAGTGTAACGTTGGTGCAATATTCTACCAATAAGTATAAAATAGCTTACCTAATTTTCATTTTTCATAGAAATAATATTACTAATAATAAATCTAAAGAAAGAAAGACATTAGGATCATGATCACCGGATAATATCCCAAATCATAAATATAAAGAAGCTCACCCATAGCCAACACTTTATCTGGAAATTTAACACATTGTTCATACTGAGTTTAGTGCCTACATAATAGCAACTCAGTCTTTCCTAATGGATAATTCATTTTACTGACCAGATTCATTAAGTGAAGGTAATTACTGTAATATTTCCAACATTAAATACTCACAAGAACTTGTTGGCCTAAAATATAAGAAGCCTGGAAGGCAAAGACCGTTCATACGCGGAAAAATTTGTCAAGGCACAATTGGATCTAGAGCCAGTGAAATATGAATCATTTTCATTTGATTAATGCCAAATTTGCAATAAGCATGAGATAATATTGTGATTAGAGGAGCCGTCGAAGATGTACAATAGGAAGGACTCCAATGTCTAAGACTTCTTAGGCATCTTCTTTGTCCCATTCTCTTGGACGGAGCATCTAGTGTTTCATTAATTTGAGCACAATCAGTTCTCCGCTTGCCACATGTGATATGATTATGGTAAAATATCATAACATATATAGGGCAAATATATATATATTATATTAATTACTCCTTGATTAAGGAATTTTTGGTTGATAGTTAATTACTTGCACAGTATATTATGTGATGGTGCTTATATATAATCGTGGATACCATACAACATAATCTTGTGATTCTTGAGAATAACAGTTGTCATATTCTCAACGATGGTCAAGAAAGAATTTGAATGTTTATCTACAAAAATCCACAGTTATCAGCACTGGCTATATTGACATTGATTCTAACACCAACTTCTCTCATGCAACGATCATAAGGAGACAAGGAATAGTTTAACCAGAATTACATGCTAGTTGAGAATTGTAGGACCTTTTAGGGTGTGATCAAAACTAGGAGAGAAGAATAAGAATAACAAAGTAGTTCACATATTCCAACAGCCAAGCTTTAGCCTCTATAAATAAATTAATATCAACAGAAGTCTTTAGCACTAAGTTGAGATTAATTTTTATAAATCGGTCATCATGAGATTGAAAATTTGAGTATCGTTTGTCACAACTTATAATTACCGATATATTTACGTTTCCACACATGATTATAGTTATTTTCAAAAAATCTTAAATTTTAGCATCAACATAACTATGGAGGGATCGTTCCAGATAAGATGACAGTGTCACGTGGTCGCAATATTTTGTACTAGAAAGTGTGAAATAGCCTATTTTCATTTCCATTTTATGAAGAAAAAAATACCAATATAAACATTTGTGTTTTGTTGATTTATGGATTGTATAAGGATTTAGTTGTTGTGAATTGCGATAATTAGCATTCCAAAACTAAAAATTATTTACAACTTAGAGAGTTGTTGGTAGAATAATAAAAAGATTGTTTCAATAATTTTAATAATTCAAGAAGTTTTAGTAAAAATCTTAAATTTTAACTGTAGGTCAGTGCACTTCTAACAATGTATTTTTATTTTTAATAAATAAAAAATATACCAGATTAATTTGTTCGTCAACCAGAACTGATTTTTTTTTTA